TCAGACGGATGCACACTCAAGACTTCAAGCACCTGTCCTGGTACGAGGATTCCTCCAGAGTTGGCACGCACGAGGCCGGGGTTTTCCTCCGACTTGAGCTTTCTGTTGGGTTCGTCTTCAAATCTCAATTACAGCACTGACTCGCGGAGATTCTTAGGCCAGCTGGAACCCACATTTGCAGCTGCATCTTTTGTAAGTCATGAACCGTCGTGTCGCCTACACCAGAGTCCTTCCGAAAGTGAAATACTCCGAAGCTCGACTTGGGCAAGATGTTTCATGTGTTTTTTGGAGGTGCTTGAAATCCATCTCTCGGCAGACGGCCTCGTCGTCTGTGCACCGATTTCCTTGTTGCCGCAACTGAAAGCTACGCAGGAGGTTTCCCCCGAAGCGAACCTCCAAAAACTGGACGACATGGAGCTCTCGTTGGAGAACCCCGGGCCCAAAGAGCTGTCGAAGTCAGAACTTGTGGCGAGTCGCCAGAAACTCCTGGCACTGAACCACAGCTTGCAGTCTTTCATGTCCTTCACTTTGGCGGAGATGAAGCCGAGCAGAGCACTGAGACCTGCTCGACGTTCTGAGAAACGACTGACGATTGAAGATGGTGGCAAGGTTTTCAGCTATCTTTGGGATAGCAACAGCAAATCTGCTGAATGGCAAACCACCAAATTCGCGAATCACAAGACCTTGGTCCGGGTATCCACGCTACAGGACGAGGGTGACTCCAGGGCCGCCATGTGCATGGCGGCCCACGGCTTGAGTGTCACCTTTCATCGGGACACAAGCCACAAGCTGGCCAGAGAGGAGGCCTTGGCGGCGAGTTCGTCGGCAGAGGTGGGGCTGGTGAAAAAGCAGGTGGCACTCATTTGCAAATTTGACCGGGCCCCTTGGCGAACCAGCTCCTTCGGCAGACGGCTCCAGGAGGCTAAAGAGATGATTCATTTGGTGCCTGCCGAGCATTCGCTCGTTCAGATGTGTGCCGCAGGCATATTGGACGACCTGGGCTTCAGTCCTGCTTCACCTTTGTCTGTGGTGAAATCTGCCTTGGAAGAGTACTGCAAGGGTAAAGTGTCAACGGGCACGGAGCACAAATCAGGACGTTGGTGTGACTTCGTCGATTCTTGGAGTCGGCTAAAACGCCAGTGGCACTGCAGGCTCTTCGTGCATCTTTTTGCCCTCCTTTTGGAGGGCAGAAATCCGATGCAGGCACTTGCTAGCAGCTTGCATTTGCAAGGTTCGGCCGAGGGTGAGGAAGTGGCTCTCCAGCCCCGGGTTCTCAGAGTGCCCCGACTTTCTTCCAAGCATGCCATGTTACGGCCTCTTAGGTGCTGAAAGGGTGTTTCTAGGACCCTTTTTTTTCCACAAATAACTCCTACTCCCTACCATTCAATTTACTATGAATCTGGAACGACGAACCAACATTTCTGATTGAAGTTTTGCACTGTGAGGTTGCCTAGGCAGCTGCTTTCTGTCGTGAGCTCGTTCTCTGCTGCCAGGTTCTGGTACAGCCACGATCGAAGGCCATCGCGAATGCCGTTTTTTATGCTCTGAAGCCTTTCCGTGGTTTCCAAGCAGCCGAGGTGCTTGCATCGTGACCGATCGAGTTAGGATGGACCACCATTTCGAACCATACACATGTGACTCATCTTTGCCTTCACATGCTCTTCCCCCTTGTCAGGTGCGCCTGGACAAGAGCAGGAATGGCACGGCCTCTCTGAGGCGCTATGTGGCTTTGCAATGGCCGAGCTTGATTCTGACCACCATGCGATCCGGACTAGATAACATCAAGGAGATAATCGGGACACTGGACAGGTCCGAGGTACCTGGTGTGCTGGCCGTGCACTTCCGGCATCTGGTTGCGACGGTGCAGCGGTTCTGGGAATTCAGCATTCTCTACCAGCACTTCCCATGGAAGTGGGAATTGGTTCTGGATTCAAGCCCAGATGTGAGGGCCAGAACTTTGAAAGAGGCGGAATCCGAATGGAAATTCCTTGTCGGCATGGAGCAGCGGTTCGAGGATGCATCGGCAGCATTTCCGCTCAAAGACGTCCCGCATGTCCGTTGGCATGTGTACCGTGAGATTATGACACTGTGCGAGGAGAATAAGTTTTGTGCAACCAACGAAGTCATAAGCCTCATCTCCTCCTGGCAGGCGGATCCTTGTTCCAGTCTAGGCTGTGAGGATTCGTTCAGAGTCCTTCGGCAGGCTGAGCGAAAGCATTCCGGTGGAGAGGTTTCGGCTGTGCAGCTACAGGCCTCGTCCATCAAGGCCCTGGAGCAGCGGTACGGGGATCAGTTTGAGCATGTCACAGTGGAACCAAGCTGTGTGCACTCGGTTCCATTGAAAACCGTGGTGAAGCCCGCCATTTTCACTGCCAAGCGAGATACTGCTTCGGAGACCGGTCTGGCAACGTTTGGCCAGATGGTGAAAGAGACGATCCCGAGTGCTCATCATTTCACGCGACGATGCTTGAATTTGTGGACGACTGTCAAAGACAGGAATGGGGATCTCTCCAACAGCTGGGTCCCTGAGTTGATTCGCCCCGGCCAGGTACTTGTCTGATTAATCTTAAACGCAAAGCTTCGTTCGCACGTATTGGTCATTCCTGCCAGGTGCTTTTGCTCCGGCAAGAACTTGTTCTTGTCATCGATGCCCCGTATTTCCTTGTCCGAGTGTGGCCTCTGAAGAAGGAGACGATTCACTTCAGTGGGGAAACCTTCGAAGGGGCCACGATCTACACAGATCGGCCGTGCATGAAGGACTTGGCATGCCATGAATAGGTTTTCTTGTGTAAGATGAGACATACCGTGCAGACATGTGGAAATTTCTGTTGAGACCTCGGTATCAACGTGAGCAGTCGAGCATCGGCCGTATGTCAGGACGTGTACCCTGTCAATGCTTATGACTTGGAGCTGCTCCCCTTTGAGCCCTTCTTCCTTGATGTTGGAGACAGGGGGAAGTTCGTGCTGAAGCTTCAGGAGCCCAGACCTTTGGTGAACTATGCACTGGAGAACTACGCTTCCCGAAGCTCGTTGTGATGCTAGTAGTCATTTTGTGCTGTGGCATGTCATGTGCCTCAGCCCGCTATGTAAGCATATGAACGTCTCTGGTTAGCTGTGTCTGAATCAGTGTTTGTTTGTTTCCTGCCGGATATTTGCAATGGTGGGGCTGCTTCGATTCCAATCCTTGCAGATTTGCTCCCAAGGTTTATCTGCCCATTGCCTTCGCAGCTTGTGCACTGCTTCGGGATGCCCCGTGGCTGGAAACAGCTCCATGAAAAGCTCTGCCACGCGGCTGCTCGATCACTTGAAGTACCCGAAGGAGCAAGCAGACCGCATCCTGGAAACTTTCAAGCAAAGGGCCGGCAAGAAGAACGATGGTGATCTCGCCGATGAGAGCGAGAGAATGATGGACGATGCTTTTGGCGACGATGACGGCGAGGTGGGAGTGGACACCATGTGTGAAGCCAAGCTCCTCAACAAATTGTTGCACAAGATGGAGATGACCGAGGCCAAGGCAGCAACGGATGAACACAAGTCCCCTCAAGAGCCGCTGAAGCCTGCTGCTCCATGGAGTGATCAAGATCGCGGGCTCCAGGACAAGGAGGAAGTCGGTGACGAGAATGTGCCACCGGGATGCCGTATCGATCTCAAGCGACCGCCCAACGCCTCTCCATATATACAAGGCTTTTTGCCTGCTGGCCAGACCTGGAGGGGCATCAAGAGTACGAGCCGAGCATATCGCCCGAGGACCGCCCTTTCGACTCTGGATGGCAG